GTAGTTCAAAGAGATGAGTCATTTTATGTATGTTGCTTTCTTTGTCACATGGGGGTGACCCAAGTTAATGATTTGCATGCAATTCTTCCCATCAATCCCTGTCATGTCTTCTTGCACCCTGGCAGCATACCATAACTTAGATGGCTCACATTGTGACCACATGAAGTAATGGGGGAAGCTTGGTTGAGTATACTACACGTGTGCAAAAAATCTAGCCCAGTTGAAAGCACAGGTGGTTCCTAGTGCTGTTTTACAGCATGTTGCAGAGAGCTGACAGAGATGTATATGGCAAAACATGTACTTGAGCCAGGTATACTGGCCTGTTGTAAATTCACTTTTTAATTTCTGTGATATGTCAGTTTTGTCTCTAGTCAGTCTTTGAGACTTTGCAGTACAGCTGACACTTTATTAATTAGGCTGTAGTAATATGTGCTATAATTGCAATTCTGATCATTCTAGTGTAATACAACCAAACCAACCTTCGGCTTTAGAATGTGGCACTATTGCCACATTATACAAGTCAATTAATCATTAATGCTTTTTGAAAGAAAGGAATTCCTTTAAATTGTAAGAAATGCAGCCTGTCACTCCAGAAAATAATATCATTTAAAAGTGTTCAGATTGGTTAATACACCCTGTATAGATTAAATTTTGCTGGAAAATTAAATGACAGAAAGCTATAGGTCCTTTTGCAACACCTATTCTGTCAGTCATGACATTGCCATTCCTTTGCCACATTTAGAAAACATCTTTCACGGTTACCTAATGCAGCTTGTGACACCATGACAAGGTTATCCATAACCCATACCTCACAAAGTGTGATGCTACATATTTAACAGGATGTTAATTGTATGTTTTTCAAATGTCCGGTCCACTTTGATATCATGAGTAAAGCTTTATATGCAACCACTGTAGAATCTACACTCCTACAGCAGCTTTATGCAAGCATCTGCAACAAATTTCTTTCATTAAAGAACATTTTGAGAACTCATAATTCTCAAAAATAAATTTTACAGATATGGGGGGGGGGTTTCTCACATAAAATGCAAAAAATAAATAAATAAATAAATAAATAAAAAATCAGTGGTTCTATACTCTTGATGAAGATGAAAATATATGATCTCCTTAGCTGATGCAAGCTACTTTTAACATGCTCTATTGCTACTAGCAAGTCTTGAAAGAACAGAAGAACTAGATCTGTAGGTATTCAGTCAATCCGTCACGTCAGAGAGCTCAGAGATTATATTAACATTATATTAATCGGCAACACTGAATGCTTTATGTCTGCGGCCTGATGCAGTTACACCTTTCTGCAAACTTTAGAGCTTGCATGAGATGAACCATAAAATAAGTTGCACTGCTAATAAATTAAGCTTGACAGTTATTGCCATTTTAGAGAGTATATGTTTTCACTGCAGTCCTGCTGCATGAGGCATATACTGTTAGAGATATACTAACCAATAAAGAGATTTGCTTGCTAAAGTGTATGCACATAGCCTGTATGTCATAACAAAAATGATTCGGGATGAAGGGTGAAAATGGAGCATGTTCAAAACCAGTGTGACAAGCAGGCCCCTTTACAGAGGTGTTGAAAGATGTGTTAGTAGTGAATTGTGGTGGAGGTGGTGTCATGCAGATGCCTGTTCGCATTGATGCACTGGAAAAGTGACATCAACATCAACAGTGAAAATGGCTCATTGATGACCAGGGGAGGGCTACACTGTATATAAAGGAGAGCGCCTTCCTAACACGAAAGACTGATCAACAAGTTTGACTTCTTTCCCAGACGGATAGAGTCCTCTAACTACCAGCTCTGACGCACTATTTCTTGGATAGAAGGACACCAGACCTGGTAAGAACGACCAATGAATATGTCTTTAAATAGATGGCTGTAATATACATATATATTTTTGAAAATATACGTAGAAAATACCTCGTCTAACTAATAGTTTAATTTGCTTCAGTTAATCGACATGTTTTCACTGAGGTTCTTGGAAATGTTGGTTCTGGTAATCCTCCTCTGGAGCATCCACACAGAGGCTAAACCACTGAGGTAAACTCTTAAACTTTCTACAGTGAAATATCATCTTTGGAATGAAAATTAATAATGCACAATTAGCTTAAATAATTAACTGATCCTGTAATTCTTCCTTGAGTTGACTATGTGTGTTTTCTGTTTGTGCAGAAAGAGGACTGTCAGTGAGGTGCAGCTTATGCACAATGTTCGAGAACACAAACAAGTAGGAGAAAGGCAAGACTGGCTTCAGGAAAAGTTGAAGGGAATTATTGTGGCCAGCTCTAAACCACTACATGGAAAAGCAAGAACTATAAAAAATCTTTTTCAATATGATGTTTTTGGATCAAAAATCTAAAAAAGTTATACAAAATATGCAAATTCAAGTGATTTAATGTTCAGTATATCTTATGAAACAAAATCCCCATGCATTACTGAAGAATCTGACTATTTTTCCAAGAGTTATTTTAGATGTTTTTTTTCTTATTGTTCTTAACTTATTTTAAAATTTTGTCAGATTATTTATTGATTTATTTATGCTTTTATTGTGTTTTTTATTTTATTTTTAATTCTATTTTATTTTTTATTTTTTTCTTGTCTGATAAATGTTTTCCCTCTTTTTTTCCCTTTTTTTACATTCTGTTTTAATGTCATATCAGTAGGATTACAAGTACTACAGTCAATATCTCAGGCCGTCTGGGGAAGAAAAGGTTTTAAAATGTCCTCCTACTCTCCACACCATACACATCACTATTTACAAATGTTGTTTACTGCATATTGTAAAGGACCAATAAGATGGCTAGTCTTACATTTCTTGTGTGTGCTTCTTACATGCGCATCATATGTATGCCTTTATGTAATGACTTTCAGGAGTTATACTGTATGTTTTTCAGCCAGTCCTCTTATAGTCACTAACATGATCTCCTGAGGACTGAGTCAGATTTTCTGCTGGTGATTTTTACCCCTGCTTTAACTTTCTACAACAAATTTCTCTAAAGTGCTCTGCAGAACCTCTCTGATCTCTCTTTGAACTGCTGTACTTCATTCTTACTGTCAGGTATTGATCACTTTTACTGGGTAACTTTGTGAGATGTAACCTATACGACAACTCAACCTACATGCCTTTTGTGTCAGCAATTTCTGGATTGCGTTCGCTAGCTTGACTTTACATAGATTACATACATGGCTTTACATACAATACATTACACAATGTTTAACATATTCTTGGCGCAGGAATAACTCACACTAAGTAATGTTCTTTAAAATTTGCAAAAAAGTGTAATATATCTGTCAGATTACAGAATTGATTGATGTTTTGAGTGGCCATACACGAAAATTATTCTAGAAATACTTGATAAAAAGTCATAAGACAAGATCATCAATTTTCAGTCCTAAAGATTAGAATTCAGTTGATGTCTAGTCCCACTTTAATTTTTTTAAGGTGATTTTACTGACCGATGGTGATATTGCCAGTTTTATGGCTGCACACATTGCATCATATCATCATATTCAGACTTTTCCAGCCTTGTATACTGTGTGTGTGTGTGTGTGTGTGTGTGTGTGTGTGTGTGTGTGTGTGTGTGTGTGTGTGTGTATTGTTTGCAAATCATAACAGGCTGTTTGACTTGTGTCGAATAAAGGCAAAGCAGAGAGATGTTATGATTGATGGATAAGACATAGATAAGCTCTGATATGTATCCTGTTCGGCTGTTGTGTTGCTCTGTCCTCCAGTCATGTCCTAAAGAGTTGATCTGGCTAATTGACAAGCACCCTTGCTATGACCCTGCATTTACTTTGAAAAAGCGACTTTGCTACTACTATAACTATTATCTATATATTAATACTTTAAAATAAAAATGTCTTCTGCAAAGATTTGCTAGTGTGCGGTGTTTTTTTCACATCCAGTTAGAGGCCTTTAAATTAATTGGACAAAGCACCACTATGATATGAGACTACCTACAACTTAACCTAATTTTGTTATTTATTTAACATTGTTTGTTACCATAGCATAACTGTAGGCTGAACTGATACCTGGTTAGATTTATCAACACTTTGTGTTTACTCCTAGTTTTAATTAATCTTTAATCATTTTTTTTGTTATATTCTGCAGTTTTACCTCAAACTGTGCACAATGGAATATGGAAGCTTCTTTCCACCACTAAAGTTGAATAAATAAAAAATAATTAAAAACAAAATCTGCCAGGCAGAGCAAAGTTGAAAGTAAGTAATTATCTCAAAATTTCAAGTCTGGGGAGGTTAAAATTCTGTATTATGTAATTCAAAATTTCGAGATACTAACTTGAAATTTTGATATATGGATAGAAAAAAATCATTAGTTGAAGAAATAAGCTTCCATAGTAGACAGATCAGTTCAGTGCTAATCAGTGGGAACTGCTGATTATAGAGTCTAAAATAGTGCTATATTTATTATATAATAAATTAATGCACATGTTAATGGGTATTTTAATTATAAATGCAATTACATTCTTCAATATCTGCTGTCAGTTCTCCACATAAGCTGAGTTACATGTACATGAAAACATATATTTATTTATTTACTTTTATTTATTTGTTTTGTACCTTATTTCATATTTCCTTTCCTTTCCTTTTCTCCATGGTTCATTTTGTCTTTTATAGGCTTACAAATATCGGTACTAGTATCTTCACATTTTGGATTTTTTTTCATGAATAAAGGAAACTTTAAAAAAAAAAAAAAAAAAAAAAAAAGCAATCGCACACGCAACATATCGCGACACTTGAGGGACTCGGTCATCTTTCTTTTGACTTTTTTGAAGAAAAAGAAAAACTTCTTCTATTACCTACTGAAAACAGGTCAGTCACCTGTAGTACATTAAATTTTTCAACTCTTTAACTTTTGAGACACGTTTGATCGGCGAGCGTAGCAATGACTTTGAAATGTAGTTTTAAGTGCGTCAGCACGTCGAGCCGTTAACGGTCGTCACGTCGTACGTCAGCTGGGTGAGTGTTTTGAAAGGAGATGACTGGTTAGCTGGCGAGCAAGTGGGATTATACTGCAGCGGAAACCGTAGCCAGCTAGGTAGCTGTTTTTTCTGTATATCTTTCCTGTATCTCACGGTATCAAATCATGTCTGTGGACACTCTTGGAGCATGTTTACTAGCCATTCTGCGTCTCGGAAGTTTGTTCTGATATTGTTGTAACGTACCGCTGGTAATACTGCTAATGCTAGTTAGCTAACTAGCTAGCTATGCTAAAATAGCAAAGTCGTCTCACAGCAACGTCGACAACGTTTAATTTGATAACAGCGATAAAACTGACAATCAATCTTTGTTCAACTCAAGCTTGGCTGCACAACCTAGCTTTTTTATTAACCGACAGCAGCTACCTGTGGATTTTACACGAGGCTGACCAGGGAATTAAACTGACTTGTTGATTTCGCCATTTGTCGAACAGATTATGAACGGTGAAAGATCCAGATCGGGCTACCCCCTGTCCGGGTGATGGCAGCTCGTCTGCCGTCATATGACAGCAACTCCAGTGATACAGAAAACTGGGAACGAAAAACAGCGAGCCGACCGCGCAAACTCTGCAGGCATTCAAGGTGAGCCAGGTGAAAATATATGGAGTTGTAAAGTTCACAGCAACAGTCACATACGCCCTGTTCTAGGGATATCACAAGAGAAAGTATCGGTTTGCTTATGTGTATCTTTTGCATCCGTCCTGCTTTGTATTAACTCATAGGCGTAACCCCTATGAATATAAATTTGGCCTAGCACTTTCCCTGTAACTCAATGATTGCGTGATACTGGAGAGAAGTGTTAGTCCACTGAGAAAATTTTTGAAAATCAAATAATATTGCCTGTTTATGGCAGTATTTAACGTTTTCAATATATGGAAATGTGATGGAGTTGACTTCCCATGGGTTTGAGATTGCCCAAAGGCTCAAACTTACTTTTCACTTATCTTTCACATATTTATCTGTGATGTTAAGTGAATAACACCAGAGGTGAGGGGAGCCACCAGGCTGAAGAAGGAGATCTATCGCTCTTGGTAAGCCTGTGGGACTCCGGAGACAGCCGACAGGTATCGACAGGCCAAGCGGAATGCGGCTCGGGCAGTGGCTGAAGCAAAACTCGGGTGTGGGAGGAAAAAAGACTTTTGGACTGCCTCGAAGAGATTCTAGCAAACCGTCAGGCGTCTCAGGAGAGGAAAGCGGTGCTCTACCTGCACTGTGTATAGTGCTGGCGGAGCGCTGCTGACTTCGACTGAGAAAATTGTCAGGCGGTGGAAGGAATACTTTGAGGACCTCCTTAATCCCACTGACACGTCTTCTGAGGAGGAAGCAGAGTCTGGGGATGAGGGGAATGACCCGCCAATTTCCGGAGGCGAGGACACTGAGGCAGTTAAACAACTCCTTGGTGGCAGAGCCCCTGGTGTTGATGAGGTCCGCCCCAAATTCCTGAAGGCTCTGGACGTTGTAGGGCTGTCCTGGTTGACACGCCTCTACAATGTTGCGTGGAGATCAGGGGCAGTACCCCTGGACTGGCAGACCGGGGTGGTGGTCCCCATCTTTAAGAAGGGGGACCGGAGGGTGTGTTCAAACTACAGTGGGATCACATTCCTCAGCCTCCCTGGGAAAGTCTATGCCAGGGTGCTGGAAAGGAGAGTTTGTCTGCTAGTTGAACCTCTGATACAGGAGGAACAATGCGGTTTTTGTCCTGGTCGCGGAACACTGGACCAGCTCTTTATCCTCTCAAGGATACTTGAGGGTGCATGGGAGTTTGCCCAACCAGTCTACATGTGTTTTGTGGACTTGGAGAAGGCATTCGACCGTGTCCCTCGGGGAGTCCTGTGGGAGGTTCTGCGGGAGTATGGGGTGTCTGGCCCGTTGCTACGGGCCATTCGATCCCTATACAACCGTTGCAAGAGCTTGGTTCGCATTGCCGGCAATAAGTCGGAGTCGTTCCCGGTGGGTGATGGGCTCCGCCAGGGCTGCCCTTTGTCACCAATTCTGTTCATAATTTTTATGGACAGGAATTCTAGGCGCAGCCAAGTGGCGGAGGGCTTTCACTACGGTGGCCTCAGAATCTCATCTCTGCTTTTCGCGGATGATGTGGTTCTGTTGGCTTCATCGGGTGAAGGCCTCCAGCTCGCACTGGAACGGTTCCCAGCCAAGTGTGAAGCAGCGGGAATGAGGATCAGCACCTCCAAATCTGAGGCCATAGTTCTCAGCCGGAAAAGGGTGGAGTGCCCACTCCGGGTGGGTCGGGAATGAGTTCCCTCTCCCTGCCAGGTCTGGGCTTCTCTCCTTAGGCTGCTGCCCTGTCCCGGCCCCGGATGAAGATGGATTGATGGATGTTAAGTGAATATTTACTGAAGTATAACGTGTTCGTGATGACCACATGGAGCTCTGTGTAGCCTTTCCTTACTTTCTTGTTAACTCATCTGCCAGCCTTATCTTTATCTGCTTTATAATTTAGTCACCTACCTTTTGAAGGCATGTTTCCTGTAGCACTTTAGGTATATAGTTATGACAGTGACTTGGTATTAACTAACTTCATACATGCCTATGAATTTCTTGGTTATTTCTGGAAATTTGGTGAGCAAAATGAAACTCAAGCTTGAGTATATTTAAACAGTAATTTAAAACATTTTCAACACTGGCCTTGGGATTTTCCATTGTTGGAAGGCCAACATTTTTGGTATGCAGGAAAGCTCTGCAAGTGTATGCTCAGCCCCAGGATTGGGATGTATCTGTGAATGGCTAAAAGGTTAAACAAAACTTTTTTTTTCTTTTTTCCCTTTCCTTTTTTTTTTATCCTGTAGCTCTGCTTCTAATTGTGAATTTTATTCTTTCTCTGATTGTTGTTTTTTTTAAACACTAAGAAGATTTGGTCTTTGAGAAATTAATGGTTAGCTCTATTGTGTCTTTTTCCCATTTGAATTTTAATCTACTTTTATTTATAACTGCTCATACTGTTTATTTAGAAATGAAATTTCTAAATAAACATAAAATAAGCATGTCAAAACTCTGATTTGATTTTCTTTCAAATTAAATATCAAAGGTAATAGTATCTATATTTGACTGCAATACACAATGTGCGGCTTGTTACTGTTTTATTAAAGTAGAATCTGGTTGGTCTGGTTGGTCTGGTGGTTAGTTTTAAATGTCTTTATGAAGCTTGTTGGCACTATTACAGTTGTTTGTAGGGCAAATGACCTAAGCCAAAAGCTGTGACAGCCATGTTGAGTGAAATGTGTTCCACATTGTGCGTCATAAAACTATGAAATACCAATATCCTCTGGCCTTGAGAAAGGGAGGAGGTGCATTACACATGCTTTTGTGTTTCAAAAGCAGCAGCCAAGCCCGTACGTCTCAAGTGAAGGAAGAACATAGGAAGATGAGCTTACATGGTGCCAGCGGGGGCTGTGACCGCTCACGTGACCGCCGCCGCTCCAGCGATCGCTCCAGGGACTCCTCGCATGAGAGAGAAGGCCAGCTTACCCCTTGCATTCGCAACGTCACATCACCCACCCGCCAGCACAACAGTGGTGAGTGTGCGTGGAAAGAATAGACGGCTTATATGGGTGTCATGTTGGAGTTCTGCAGCTTTTGGCAAGCTCTGTTAAACAGCTGACCAAATTTATCAACTTGCAGCTCAGACATGGTTTAGGTCTCCTGCTTTTGGCTGTGAGCAGATCAAGGCAATGCTTATCCACCTGTGTTTAGACCAAGACCGAGAAGTTTGACTGCCTACATGTCAAATGTTATGAGTGGGACCTTGTGTATATATACAATGTGTATATTGCAAAGAAATACAAAATTATTTTACAAATCTTAGCTGCAAACTAAAATGTTACTACAAACTCGGCACTTTTTTTCTATCTGGATTTTGATCTTTGATTTGGACATTAAAACCAAAGATGATTTCTCCATGGTGATTCATTCCGCCCGCCCGCCTAGATCGTGATCGAGATGGCGGCTCGTCATCGAGGCCCAGTAGTCCGCGGCCTCAGAGAGTCTCACCCAGCGGTTCCAGCAGTAGTGGGGTGGTGAGCAGTCGCAACAGTAGCTTGTCCAGCACCGAGGGCACTTTCAAAAGCTTGGCAGCTGGAGAAATGGTTTTTGTCTATGAGAATCCTAAGGAAGGGGGAGCCGGTGGCACAGTTGGAAACCGAAACATTCGGACCTCAGAGAGAGTCACTCTGATTGTTGACAACACACGCTTTGTAGTGGATCCTTCTATCTTCACTGCACAGCCCAATACCATGTTGGGCAGGTAAAGTATATTTTAATCCTCGTTATCCTTGTCTTTAGTCATCATAGCTGTAACAACTGAAACTTAAATAAAAATTAAATATTCACGCATATAAGTATTGATCTGTGAGTTGGGGGGAATAAATCAAAGTTTCTTTTGCACAGAATGTTTGGATCTGGAAGAGAACATAATTTCACACGACCCAACGAGAAAGGGGAGTACGAAGTGGCTGAGGGGATTAGCTCAACAGTTTTCAGAGCAATTCTGGTTAGTTTCTCTTTTACGTAATCCTTGTATGCATAAATAATTGTGAGGTAAATGTTGGATACACACTTATGCTGAATAATTTTATCTGTGTCGCATTATTATTAAAAGATATTAAGCTATCGTGGGATCATTTTAGCTCACTGGGTAGAGTAGGCAACCCAAACAATCTGCCCTAAGGCCATCTACTTCCCCTGGTCTTTCTCATCTTCTCTTTACTGTCGAATCACAACGGAGGCTTAAAAAGCTCTGAAAATGTATCATAAATAAATAAAATAACACAATCAAGTCAACAAAAATCTACTTCCTTGCTCTTTTAACCAAACTTAAATATTTTACACAGGGCTATAAAGTCAGTTCTTAACAGGCTGCCTTTATTGCTTTTGTATAAGATGTAACACCAATCTCTGATGTCACAATTTTTAAATATATCAGCATTTGCTCATTAATGCTTCCACAGCAGAATGTAGAAGGAAATTGTGAATAAAACTCCCACTGGGATGTGTTCTTCCAATCTTTGTGGGACATATAACACCTGTTAGCCTTGAGCGACACACTAAATTTTCCTTACCTGGATCCCCGTGTGTGTGAGGAGTTGTCTGAGCCTCTGCTGTGAAAGTCTATCAAAGTTCAATGCGGCCAGAGATGACCCAAAACAAATGTGCAGTTATTAGTGTTGAATATTTTTTTGTTTTTGTTTTTTCTACATTGATATTGACTTGTGAATTTTTAATTTTTTCAATTATTTGCGCTGTATGATCAGGATGTTGAATTAATACAGCCCCCACCCCATCCGCATGACCATTACGGATGGGGTCATGTTTAAATTACTTAATTTACTGGTATAGCAGTGTTATTGAAAAATGCATATAATGCCTGAAATTTAGAGTAGTGTACTGGTTCCTATGGTTTACTATCAAGCAGTAATATAAACAGTAGATCATAATACAGATGGTGCTGAAATAAAACTAGTTTTAAACTAAAGTAGTTTTAAATTAAAAAATAAATAAATAAACATTATATAATACCCATAATTCAGGTAGAATATTACTCAACATGGGCTGTTTTGTACTGTCTACATTACATCTAATTAGCGACTGATTGCTCATGTTGAAACTCTTAAGTAGATATATGTTGGAAAATTGAATTTACTTTGCGATATGGTGAGTGAGTAGTACGCAGTTTACTGAGAAAGCTGCAGTTGGTGAGTTCTAAGAAACGTACGATTAGATTAGGCTGCATTTTTGTTGTCTGATTCATCTAAAATGCACCAGAAACCAACCCTGCAGAAAACACTGCTGCAACTATAACACAGTGCGTACCTGCTACAGCCCATTCAGGTATCTGAAGTGTATATGAGGCTGGAATGACAAAGCAAATCTGACTGATCTGAATGTGAGCTTTAATTCACAGTTTGACATTTGCATGGTGTTATCTGCTGCATCTAATTTCCTGCCAAACTGCATGTTACCTTTGGCCTACTAAAAACCCACCTCATAACAGTTCAACAGGCTCAGTAATGGAAGTCTCCTTTAACATGTGTAACTCTGAAACTGCTGTTAGAAAGCAAACTGAGATTCTGTTACCAGGTTCATTTGTATCAAAAGGGTTTTGATTTTGTTTGTAATTGTATGATTTAAGTTGATGGATAAATGGTGTTTTTAATGATTTTCTCTTTGTGATTTCTCTCTAATTGGCAGGATTACTACAAATCTGGGATAATCCGTTGTCCTGATGGAATCTCTATCCCCGAGTTGCGTGAGGCGTGTGACTATCTATGCATCTCCTTCGACTACAGCACCATCAAATGCAGAGACCTCAGTGAGTATTTCTTCTGGGACACTGAAGCTGTTAGTGTTGCATTAACAGTAGCAGCGCTGAGTATCATTGATCAGGGAGACTGCTCAGTGCCTCGTCACTTTGCAAGGCTTAACAAGATTGCAGCTAATTGATCATAATCACCAACCTGTGAGGATTTCAGATTTTTGGCTTTAAAGAAAAATACAGCTTTTAAGAACAAGCAATTTTCCCTGTACGTGTGTCTAAAACGTAGGATGTTTTATTTTATTTTTTTTTTAAGTCAGCAGGTAATTCTGGTTAATTACTATTTTCTTGTTTGTTTGTTTTTTCTTTTAGAGTTTTAGCCTATAATGAATAGAAAAACAAAATTTCTCAAATCCATATAGTCCTTATTCATGTGAAAGTGAGTTCAGGGCCACAACTTGTTGCATATCATGTATGACATTTCGTCTCCTTTCCTCCTCAACTTTTTGGGGTAAATATGTCTACAAATTTGATTCACGGTCATCTTGAGTGGGTTCTTTAAGGCTTTTCGGTGCACTGCAACATAATAGTGCCTGAAACTGATGGTTCGAGACTGGACAGACCTTTTCTTCATTAGCACTGAAGATTTTGTAGCGGTACTTTGCTGGAATGGAGGCAAGGAAATGGTTGTTTGCTTACCTGTAAATTATTTGTTTGAACTTAAAACTACAAGTAGTATCCTGATCTGAAAGAAGCATTTTAATTAGGAATTCAGTTTTTATGAAGGCACCTCTGAAATAGCTCTGTGGTGAAAGATAAAGGCTACTTGCATGACAGTAGAGCAGAGGGCCTGTTTTTAGTTGTTTCAGGAGTTACTTGCTTACCTTTGTGCACTTTATAAAGTTTATGCTTATGATGGAAATTTTGAATTTAAAGTCTCACTCTTTGTTAACAGGTGCCCTGATGCATGAGCTGTCCAATGATGGAGCTCGGCGTCAATTTGAGTTTTACCTCGAGGAAATGGTTCTGCCTCTGATGGTGGCCAGCGCCCAGAGCGGAGAGAGGGAATGTCACATTGTAGTCCTTACCGATGATGATGTGGTTGACTGGGATGAAGAATATCCACCACAAATGGGGGAAGAGTATTCACAGAGTGAGTACCCACTAATTCAGAGCGTAGGCACACATCTCGGAGCACAGACGCACAATAAACCACCTTGTTTGTTTTCTCCTTGTAGTTATTTACAGCACAAAACTGTACAGATTCTTCAAGTATATCGAAAACCGAGACGTTGCCAAATCAGTTTTAAAAGAGCGGGGACTGAAGAAAATAAGGCTGGGCATTGAAGGTGAGCTGAATTTTTCAGTATTAAATATTGATGTCCTCTCTTTTTTTCTTTTTTCCATTCTCATGAGTGGGAGAGAGATGTCTGACCTATATGAACAGTACAGGATATAACGACTCACTGCATACTGCAGATTTATAATTACAGATTTGTTTGGCAGCAAGCAAATTAATGCATAAAATAGCTATCAGCAGATGCCTCTTTGCAATCTGGATGTTATTAGAGTCAGAATCAAACGAATCAACTGTGGTCGGCGTGAGACAAAATATATTTTATTTAATAAAATGATATAATGGTTTTGTACCCAAACTGCTTTGTTCACTCAGTTTAACATCTGCCCAAGTTAATATGCAGTTGGAGTGCAGTATTATGTTCACATACCAGATGTAGACAATAGACATGCTGCTACCTGAATGTTTTTGAATGCTGTGACTGAAAAGACACGCCTAAAGTGGGAAGTCGATCAAACTAGAATAAGGTCATTTAGAGCCCAACACTTGGTAATGCATTGATTCCTTTTAAACAAATGGTCAGTCACATCACGTTCAGGGTGAGCCCCTCGCTTCTGGTGTTTGCTTTTTTTGTATTCTGTGTTAACAAAAGTTAGCATAAACTGAGCCACTAGTGTTGTTGTCTCTCTGACAGGTTACCCTACGTATAAAGAGAAAGTCAAGAAAAGACCAGGAGGTCGTCCAGAGGTCATTTACAACTACGTCCAGAGGCCCTTCATCCGCATGTCCTGGGAAAAGGAGGAGGGTAAAAGCCGCCATGTTGATTTCCAGTGCGTAAAGTCCAAGTCGATCACCAACCTAGCAGCAGCAGCAGCTGACATCCCCCAAGATCAGCTGGTGGTGATGCACCCTGGCCCCCAAGTGGATGAACTGGATATCCTGCCTAATCACCCACCTAGTGGGAACCACTACAGCAACAACTACAGCAATGAGCCTGATCCTGATGCACCTTCACCTGCTGTCTGAGGACACGTTGGTCTTCTTTCAATGCCTCTGCCCCTCTCCTACTCTTCTAGTCCTACTCCCAGCATGCTGCAGCATGGAGCGCTAGGGGCACCATAACCATATTGCCTTGACACCTCCTTTGCAGCCTTAGAGCCTCAAGAACCTGGATGACTGTAGGAAAAAAAAACACGAGGAACATAAGACTGGTGAAAATAACATTTCACTATTGTTTTCATTTTGGGGTTTTTGTTTTTTACTTGACCAAAGGAAGGAATCTATTTTTGTTTGGGGGAAAAAATCTGTAAAAAAAAATATTATTAGCAATTATTATTTACAATATTATTGTATCTTAATTTGATGGTTTTGACTGAGCACTCTTGTGGTGTCACTGTTTTTTCACAGGTTTTATTTCACTGATATCTTAGATTTTGATTCTCTCGGGTGGCCTAACTGCTAAATGGCTTTGATGGGGAAGGATACACAACTAGCTAAGGAGAGATTACATCTTTCTGGTCATGGAGAAAATCTGTTCTCACCACTTAGTCTCATGATCTCCATTTGAACTCCTCTCAGATGTCTTTGATTCTTGTCATGGGATATGTAGTCATTGGCTGGATCTGATATGTGATGTTTTGCTCCTCCTGCAGCCAAGATATTAAGCAGAACACAGGCTGTTGTGGTCAGAATCTTTTATGTGCAAAGCTTGAAATTGTTGTTTAAAAATAAAACAAAATCATGAAATAAAGATGAACATTTAAAAAAAAAATATATATATATATATATATACACAGTACAAAAATATGTGTGTGTGCGTGTGTGTGTGTGTGTATATGTGTGTATCTATCTATAGATATAGGCAGGTATGTATATTGCATGCCTTATTGTAAAAGCCTAACAGGACCCAGGAGATGTTGCCCTCCAGAGGTAAGACTGACCAGATACGGTTAAATGCTAATGACCATTAAGAAGAAACATTTCTGCTCTATACAATTGGGTCGGAAACACTAAAAATAAATTCAGATTAATAATATTAATTTTTGTAATTATTACATTAAACCACTGATAATTCCAAATTAGATTCATTTTTACTGCAGTTCATATACATATACATTTCCTATTTCATTTCTCCCTGAGTAGAAATGATAGCAAATAGAACCTGATAAGCTATTTAAAAGGAACCCCAACTATTATGACAAGTTACTCTAAATATGTTGCAAATTATCTCCACTACATAGAAACATACTTGAGAATAACTAAAAAAAATTTGTTATTCATTAAATCTTTGTTGTTTAAAACTATTTTGGAGTCGCGGGAGCGGCCATGTTTTTTCGCACACAATGCATTCAGGGATGATGACATGCAGCAGATTGACCCGGAATTTATACAGAGTTCATTCCCGCCACAATGAAGGGATTTCCGGAAGTGGTGTCAGATGTTACCTTGGTTACATAGGCCTAATGTAGAGTAGATTTTTTTTGGAAAACTTTATACAATCAGGCAATCTGAGAACAAAGCATGATGTATAGTGCAGCAAAGTCATGCTACATGTAATTAGCAACCACTTTATTAGGTACATCTGTTCCACTATTCATTGCAGTAATCCACAAATCTTATCATCCTTTTACATCAGCAGCAACTCAAAGCACTTAGGCATGTAAACATCCTCAAGGAAGCCTGCTGAAACCAAACCAAGCCTCAGATGAAGGAATGTGTATTGCTGTTGTCAGATGGCCTGGTGGGAATATTTCATAGGAGTGGGTTTAAAAAAGAATTATAAGATTATACCTTGAATAATGTGATACTGATTCATTAAATGCTGAATTGATTTTTGAATAAATGTGTATTTTGTAAGAATCGCCAGAATCTCAGGTTAAAGCTATTTCAACAACCACCAAACAGCTAAAACAGCAAATGAAAGCAGGTAAACAGATTCCACACAAAGATGTAAACACAAAGTGCGGCCAGGGCTGAAAGCCAACATCTCACAGACTCTGAAGCTGCAGGTGTTTTTGTTTTGTTTTTCAAAAATGACCTCCCACAAGAAAGCGTAATTTCTGCCGTTTAATACAGAAAACATTTTAACGTTTTAAATCATGCCAAATTGCAAAACGCTTAGCTGTGTCGTACAGATGATATTCAGTTGTACATCTCCTTTAAGCCCCAAGATGTTTCCAAACTACAGATTAGACTACATTAGAGGTTGGATGGCTGATAACTTTCTTCAACTTAATGAGGAGAAAATCAAAGTCCTTGTTTGTGCTCCCGATAAATTTGTGCCCAAGATTATGAAAAATTTAGGTCCTCTTGCTACATTTGGCAAATCCTCTACTAGGGATCTTGGAGTAAACTTTGACCCAGCTGACTTTGGATGCTCATGTTAAATCTCTGGTTTGCTCCTGTTATTATCATTTAAGAAACAGTGTTGTGTCCACTGTGTCATGCTCAGACCTCGAAATTGTCATACATGCATTTCTTTCATCTCATTTGGACTATTGTAATTCTTTGTTCACTTGTTTATGTAATGCCTCGTTGGAACGTCTGCAGGGTGTTCAGAATGCTGCTGCAAGGCTTCTGACCTAGTCTTCCAAGTACTCTCATGTCACACCCCTGCTGATCCAGCTGCAGTGGCTCCCCATTAAATTCAGTCCGCTTTAAGAATATGACTTTGACATTAGGGGCTCTGCATGAACAGGCACCGACATATATCAGAGATCGTTAATATCCATGCATCTCCAACAGGTCCCTAGGATAATGTGATCAGGGCTTGCTGGTTGTCCATCATACGAGGCTGAAAACAAAAGGTGACAGAGCTTTTGAAACTGTGGCCCCCAGAGTCTGGAACTCTCTCCATTTGAGCTTGGGATCTAGGGACTCACTGGTCTCTTTTAAAAAACAGCTAAAAACTCATCTGTTAAAACTTGCTTGTGGTTATTTTTTTGTGTGTGTGTTTTAGTTTCTCTGTAATTTTTATCTTGAAAAGTGCTATACAAATAAAATTTTACTTACTTTGTACGTACTTATTTTGCTATGTATAACGTTAGTTTTTCTGAAAATTCTAAGAAATTTCTTTATTAACAAAGTAAACTAAAAATAGTCTTTATTCTATTTTATAGTTTTAAAATTGAATTACAACATACTTGAACATGATATGATTGTGTTTTCACTGTCGGAGCTGTGGATCCATTGATAGCTTTAGTAATCTGAAAATTATTTATATTTATATTTTTGTCGTTTTTCATTTGCATTAAGATAGGCCGATGCATGGTGATTCTCTGATGTGTATCTGTTTCTACCTGTGTTGATGCTAGCATGACTAAAGCTAGCCAAGAAGCAGTAAATATGTGAAGCAAAGGAGAAAGATATACTCATCAAATGAACAAAATAATAAGAATATAACACCAGCACTGAAAAATGTAACAAACATATGTTGACATCAAATGGTGTGTTATTTGAACTCTACATGAAACAATGACTCATCTTTTTCTTATAGATTTGTTATTTATTTTTCCCCCAATTGTACAAATTAGTCTGTGTTTGGCCTTAGTGTCCCAGAAATCATATTTATACAAAACTAAATACAACTCGTGAATATGTTTTAAATGGATGTTTCCTCACTTGATGACGAATCATCCATTTACATATTTGCTGAGAACTAAATCTGATGGCACTGAACTTATCAGTGGTTGTTTTAACAAAGCCCCCAAATCCCCTATGAGCAAGCACTTGGCGACAGTGGGGAGGAAAAACTCCCTTTTAACAGGAAGAAACCTCCGACAGAACAAGGCTCAGAAAGGGGTGGCCATCTGTCGCGACCGAGTGGGGTTCAAATCTTCACTGAAATATCAGTTTTATATAAATATGATGTTGAGGCCAAAATACTAATAGGTTCATAACTCTCACAACTCCTCTGCAAAGGATTTCCCTAAGAGAGAGAAACAGTGGTTATCAAGAACTTGAGCACATTACCTACATATGAATATATGAATAATTATAAATTTGTTGGGTTTTGTTTAACAATGTCAGAAGGAGAGAGGCACTGAGGCACCGTCTTCCGCCCCCCGACGCTCCTGCTGTGCCTCCTCCTTCTGACAGGAACACAGACAACTCACAACTTCCTGGC